GGGGTGGTGACGGTCGGTGGGGACAGTCTTCCGACCGAGGATGTATCGGTTGAGCATGGACTGCCAGCTCTGCACCATTGCAGGTGGCACCGGAAGAGCAGCCGTCACATGCCACAGGAGTGATAACATGACTGTGTTGGCCAGCAGCCGACGTCCTTGCAGTGTGCGAGCACGGCAACCCCAATGTTGGAAGCTGGACAGGAACCTCTCATTGACGAGGTTGAGCTGGTAGTCGGATGGTAGTCGGTGGCCGAACATGAGCCCGAGGTACTTGACAGGTTGGCCTGAGGGCACAATGTTCAGGAGACCCCCACCATCGGTGTCAGCAGGGTCAAGGTGGCCGTTGAGAACCAGGGTTTGACATTTGGTTTGGTTCAGCCGAGCACCAGACACAGCACAGAACTCCTCGACAATGCCCAGTTGCTTCACAGCAGCAGGCAGGTCCTTCGATAGCAGGGTGGAGTCGTCAGCAAAGAATATGCTAGTCATGGACTCTCCATGGGGCAGAGTGATTCCAAGGTGTGGTTGATCACGTAGCATGTCACCCAGAGGCTCCAGGTAGAACACAAACAGCAGACATGACAGTGGGCAGCCTTGTTTCACTCCACGAGTTGGCCTGATGGCTGGGCCCAATGTGCCGTTGAACAGGAGGTGAGCCACCGGTGATTTGTACAGCAGACGGACCCACGAGATGAAATTTGCACCCAAATTCATCTCCTCAAGCACGTCAAACAGGAAGGATTGATCCACCATGTCGTACGCCTTCGAGAAGTCGAGAAACGAGGCATAGCTGTCTTCATCCTCCATCGTGCAGTAGTGCTGGAGTGCTTGCACCATGGTGACGTGGTCATGGAGTCGACGTCCGGGCACAAAACCAGCTTGGGTGGGGTGGATAAGCTGTGGTGCGTGCCGAGCGAGACGATAAGCCAGGGCACGAGAAAGCACTTTCACCTCAACGGGCATGAGGGAAATGGGTCGGTAGTTGCCTGGCATGCCACGGTCACCACTCTTGTGCAGCAGGGTGATGGCACTGCGGCGTTGGTGGGGTAGCAGGCATCCATGGTGGGTGAGCTGGTAGTTAAACACCATAAGCAGCAGTTCCGAGAAGATCTCAGGAGCCACCTGAAAGAACCCTGCTGACCAGCCATCCGGACCAGGCGACTTGGATGGGTTCATGGTCTTCATGGCATCACACAGCTCAGTCGCAGTGATGGGCTGGTCGAGACTGTCACGATCAGCCAGGTTGAGTCGCTTCGTGAGGGACTCGATTACAGCACGACGGCGATGGTGATCTGGTGGGTTGGCATCCTGTGGGCTCGTCATGATGGATCGCCAGTGCGCCGTGAACGTGGTTTGGACGGTGGGCTCATCGGTGATCATCACCCCATCCACGGTGACACAGTTGATGGGCACCTTGGTTCCCAACGGCTTCCGAAAGAAATGAGACGTTCCCCGCTCATTCGAATTCGCATGGAAGTCAAACTGTCGATCGCGGGCATATTGGCCATGCTCAGACTTGGCTGAATCGTAGGCAACCTGAGCCGCAGCAACATCAGCAGCCTTGAAAGTATCGTCACCGTCACCGTCCAGTGCCCGTTTCGCAGTTGCGAGACGGAGTCGCAGGTGGTGGAGTTGGGTGTTAGCCGATTCGATGTGTAGCCGATGGCATTTGATGAGCTGGCGTCTCATTCGTTTCAGCCAGCCATACCACATCGCACCATGGTTGAGGGTCTCGTCGGCTCGCATCTTGCCAAGAAGAGTGGTGGCCTCCATGGTGATGGCACATTGGATGTTGGGATCGGACAACAGCTCTCGCGGTAGTCGCCAGTAGCCCGTGGTAGTGGAGCAAGGGCTCTGGGACAGAGTCACAGTGTGGGTGAGATGGTCGTCACCATAGCCATTCGGGTCATATCTGGCCTCGGGGTTGAGATGGGAAGCCAACTCGTCATGCAGGAAGAGGTAGTCCAGCCGATTGACTCGCCCAGGGCCGCTGAACAGGCGTGCTGATGGATTGAGCTGACGCCATACGTCGACCTCACCGAGTGCTGTGAGCCACTCCACACAGTCGGTTTTGCCATTCCCGTGACTTGAGTGCAGTGTCGAGGCATCGAGGGATGGGTGGAGAGGCATGTTGAAGTCACCTCCCACAAGGTGTAGACTGTCGTGTTCGAAATCACGAGGCAGGGCTACAAAGAATGCACCACGCAGATGGGGCTCCACGAGTGCATATATGTTGTGGATGTACACGGGCAAACCACTCCATTCAGTCCTGACCACCAAATAACGGCCAGGGATGTCGTGGTTGACCAGGTGAACCAATGAGGCGAAGCCAGGCATGGACTTGTGAAAGAAGCTGGCTACCCCGCAGTGCCGACGGTGAACCGGGTCGGCAGTGGTTGCTCTTGGATCGTTGGTGAAGAGGGTGTAGTTGCCAGCACCAACCTCATTGTTGAGGTGGTGGTGGAAGGTATCGAGTTGTTGTGCATTGCGCATCTTCGTTTCTTGAAAGACGACGCAGGTTGGAGGTTTTTTGAGACGTCGAGCCACGAGATGTCCGTTGATCTTGAGGCCGTTCAGGTTGCAGGTGGTGATGGTGAAGGATGAGGTTGGGTCGAGGAGGTTGGCCGGTAGCACCTTAGTACTGACGGTTGACCACTTGGGTCATGGTGGAGTCGTCCACCGGGGTGGCAGTGTCATCCACTTCGTCAGTCGGGACGACAAATCGGCCCAATTCCTGATCCCATCGTGTGATGCCGATGTGTGGAAGGCTGACGAATCCACTCTCATGAATGTCGTACAGGTGCGCCATGACTCGGTTCATGTCGTCATCACCATCAAACATCGTTTCCATGATGCGCCACAGCTCTTCACCAAGGTGGGTTGACATGAGGACAGCTAGCATGGTTGGAGCCGAGAGGGAGCGCAGCCCACGGTGCGCAGGGATGATCTCAATGGTGCATCCAGTGGACACCATGACGGCTGCATCGGATGCAAAGTAGAGAGGGCTATGGGCTGCTGCAAGCACCTCAGCCAGTGCCAGCACCAGTTCCAAGTCCAATCTGGACAGGGTCAGCTCGTCACCAGCTTCCGTCTCGGAAACGATGGGTGCCAGGGTGTCGGAGTGTTGCAGGGCCCGGAACAGCTCAACCACCGACTCTCTGGTCATCTTGTGTCCAAACGACTTGGTGTACAGCTTGTCAAATGATGCTGAGCCACCCCAGGTCGCACGGAGCCAGCGGTGCAACAAACGCTGGCGAATGAGCAGCTCAAAGGTAGGGCGATCTGCAGTGAAGAGACGATGCAGCTGGACCCCAAAGTCCACTGGGTGTCGTGCCATCATGGTGCAGATCGAATCCACACGGCCAGAGTTCACCATGGTGGCTAGATCGAACTCACTGCCACGAACAGCATCTGCCACATGGGATTCATGGTGCTGGATAGCCGCACTGGATTGGGCCTCGAGGAGTTGCAGCTCGGCCAGCAGATCATCCAGCGGCACCTCGACGTGTGAGACTGTGCCCTTGGTTGGTTTGGGGCACGTCACATACTCGTCGGCAGTGGGGTGGGCAAGGTCGTTGTCGGGCTGGTGCAGCTCGGGGATGATGGATTCAAAACTCACACCATCGTGGTTGGCCCGGTGCACCGCATGTCCAACGTTCCAACGCTCATGGAGTGCCGCAAACGCATTGGGTGACGTCCAGGATCGACCAGGAGTGTGAACACGGTATGGGGCTGGGGCTGCGTTGGGGTCCTTGGTCGTGGTTTTCTGTCGTTTAGCCGGTGTGGCCCGAGTTACAGTGGTGGTGGAGGTAGGGGAGGTCGTTGGAGTCACGTGAGTTGTTCCAGCTGCGATGGAGTCCAAATCAAGACGAGCCAGTCGCTTGTCACGAAAGAACCATCCACGGCCATAAACACGGAGGCACCGACCACGGAAAACGAATTCCTCAACCATCCGACCATCGAGCAGCATGGTGGATGGGATTTCAGACCCCAGGAAGTGGATCCGGTAGCGCGATCCAGCCAGGCCCGTCGTCGCAGACACACTCGTATACAGACCCCATAAGAAACGAGGTTCGAGGCGTTGCAGGGTTTCAAACATGAGCCGTTCCTCAAACAGACCTTGCGGGCCAGCCGGAATGTCCATGTAGAACCCATCGAGCACGTGTGGAAGGGACATTTGGAATGGCATCATGGTGGTGGTCTTGATCTTCCCAGACGTCGTGGTCACACGCAACTTCAATGTCGTTCCTTGAAGTTGACGGAGAGCAGTGTCACTGGCGATACCCCACCGTAACATACGGTTTTGGGTATCCTTCTCACATTTGATGACGTCAACGAGGGTGTCGCCCTTGACCAACGACTGGTTGTCGTGCAGCAGCGACGCCATGGCGGCATCCTCGTTGATCGCCTTGGTATGGTTGCCCGTGTCCATGTGCAGCCACCCGACGACCTCACGCTTGTCGTGCTTCTGGATAGGCATGGTGTCATGGAAGGCGAGCGTTCCGGCACCGTGCTTGGCCAAGGAGGTGCCAGGTCGACCATCGACGGACAGTGGGCACTCACATCCTTGATCCGAGTGGTCTTGGTGGCCTCGGCGCGCTTGGCAGCAAAGGCAGCCCATGGATGGGTCGACGGCGGCGAGGTGGTATTAGTAGCCGAAGTTGCAGAGCCACGGGTACGAGGGAGCGAGCGTGGGTTGACATTTTCGGACGATCCAGCGTCACCAACACGAGCAGATAACGTAGCTTGGGACATCACATCACTTCGCGCATCGCCAGGGCTGACGGTGCTGGCGGTGGATAGGCCTAAACGGCCAGAATCGTCGTTCGCGACATCCTCCATCCGAAGCACATGTATCATAGTGGCCAAGTACCCACACCGGCCGTTGCGTTCGGTGGTATGTTGGTTGAAATACAGGATTCATACAAATCAAAAGGACTACGTATGCAAAACGTTGTTTGGCAAACACGCACTTCTTGAACGAAGTCGCCAATTGTCATATACGGTAAAATGGATAGCTGCCCAAGCGACCGTGTCAAATTCTTTCGCGGGTCATGTAACGTGCACTATGTAGGATACATCGACGAGCAAGAAGTTCGCGTATATCCTTCTTTGCCGCAAACGGCAAAAGTGGATTGCACCTAACTATTGTTCGTATCATTGTGTCCAAGTCCACCAGGACGACCGACCTCTCTGTATGCCGCGGCAATTTGCAGAATGACCAATGACTCTGCCTTTATGCCGATAACTACAATACGTAGGATTGACTCTTGTTTTTCAAACTTGAGGGCGTTTTGCATTTCCAGCGAGTGCGAAAATCAAAAGCAGTTGAAAAATTCCTAAACTGACTCACCCTATTCCCTGCCACATTTCACAGCGGGAAACCGAATACAGCTGTAGAGCTGGATTGTGCGAGACATTTCGACCGACGTCTAAGAGAATGTTTCCGAGTAAATCTTGAATGAGCTGCGAACGAGGTGTCAACGCAATTGATGATTGTCTCCGGACTGGACACATGCCAGTATCATTGTCGCATTGGTAAATTAACCCAACAAATCACTCCAGAGTACGTGTGACGCGAAGTCGGCATTGCGGGTGCGGTGGACGGCATTGCGGGTGCAGTGAACTGCACGTCGTGAGAAGGGTTATCATTCACAGTCGCCGAGATGTTGATAGTGATTGCGCTGTGGTCAGGGATAGAATAAATGGACGCTGCGGTCATCCGTGGTCATAAGCTGTCATCAATGTCGAAACCCTGAATGCCCCGCTACCCACGCGACAAGTGGTCGCGCCATTCAGCATAGCAACATGCTGGTTTGATGGCGACAGGCTAGTCCTTCATTGGCTATGGCCTGTATTTTTTTTAGGAAACGCTAAAAACGCTGTTTCTTGTGTGTTTATATGGGATTTAGTATACTCTGGCCATCTCTTACTGTGCTAGAGTTAAGTTCATCTCAGTGGTTAGCGATAGTTAACTACTACGTCCCTGTGAACCAATCCAAACAATTTAAGGAATGTGTCTCTGCCAAAATAGCATTTTACTCCCTCAATAAGCATACTTATAAATAGTGATTTTCCTTTCTCATCCGAGTTCATCCTGGTTACATTATAAATCGGCATATCCTTGGGTTACTCCTACCGGTCCACGTGGGCTTTTCGCACCTCACCATGCTTGGCGACAGCCACTTATTGCTCCGCGAGATGCAAGGGCTATACCGGGCCCAGCATACAGACCTGTATCGCAACGTCCGGTCCCTTGCCGCACGGTTTTGCTGTACCTGGACTCACTGCCCGCGAAACTGCAACCAAGCGGCTAATTATGTTCAAAAAATGCCCCCGACGCGGTTACCGATTTCACTTCCCTCGCGGGTTTTCTCCATGCCGCGCTCGCACCGCGTTCTCTGTCAGAGCTTCATGATTTGCTGGACCACGATCTCGGTTTCCACCCCGGCTGACAACCTTCTCTCCTACATAGCTTTGCATGTATAAGCCTCGTAATCCACACATGCGCACAAAAAGTTGACACATCGCTGCAACTAACAGGAAGGTGATCGATTTAGACTACACTTCTGTTAACCTGTCATAAGCAATATCTGACCAATTTACAAATCCATCCATATTGAGAGGTTTAGGTTAGATTGTACGGTACAGTATATTTGCATGAATACTGTAGAGATGCACTTACTGTTAATCCCGAGGATGTAGGGTTGAATGTATTCATCGAGTATGACGGGGTAATTCATATGGTTGTGTTTATTCTAAACTGGAGCGACATGGCGAATGAATTCACAGAACCAAATGTACAGAAGAATCGGCAGAAGGATTTAGCCAATCAGATTGCAGGAAACTATCGACAACGTTAAATTAGTGTGTGACTTCAATTAGTGTGATACCAATCACCACAGGACATCATTTTACATACAACATTCAGTACACCACTTGTTCGCTTATATATTTCTTGATCTGTGATTGCCAATAATACTGAACATCAATATATAGATATAATTAAAATAAGTAAATGTGACAGGACATACTAAAATCGTATTAACGTTGTAAGTGACGAAGAGATTGAACAAATGATCAAAGTCTGCGTCATTGATGAATCAACCGATTCAAAAACAATACGGCAACACTATTCCGCATTTACAACCTATATGACAATATTCTACACAACTGAAAATCTGCTGCGACTCAACACCAAATACCTAGCGCGTAGTGATAACTCACAATCAATTTTTTGAAGAAATCCATGTACTCCTTTGCTATCGTGTCGCGCCTCCAACAAGTCGACGACGACGTTCACGCATTGGACGAGATGAGACAAGTATACCACGCTCACTCCCGCGGTGGTGTCATCACCTGGGAGAACGATCGCCACTATAGCGTGTCAAAGACATGACTACATCAACTGATACAAATACCTAGCCCCAAAAGTACATCTTTTGGTGGGCCCATGATGGTTAAATGTTCCGTACTCCGGTGATGTCCATGTAATCTGATCCAAAACAATGATACAGTTTCATGGCTTTTAAAATCTTTTGTTGTGATCGTTCAAATGATCATTTCCGCAATCGACAACGAATTGATTCAATAACATAAAAATAATTAACAGTAAATAAATGAGCACTTACACGTATTTTAGCCAATGCCTTTATGGATGATCACTAACCACGTTCTGACTCGAAACTTTGTCACTGAACTAGAGGTCTAGTACAAATAATCGATCGATAGGTTTGACGATTCAGCACAAAAGTCCAAATTTTGGGTAAAAGGACAATACCTCCCTCATTGAAAGTGGGAACGGCATTTCACAGTCAGGTAACAACAGTAACATTACCATATCTTTCATGGTGGACATATTCCCTTTGGTGGGTCTTTCGCAATAACGAATTTTCGAGTGAGGTAGGATGACAAATACTACGTAGTACAACGTTTGATTGGCTCTACCCATTCGAAGTTTTATCGTTATTAATTCTAACAAATCGAGCTCCCTTCAACATGACAGCTTGGCCGAGCGCATGCGCATGACCACATCATTCAAGAACTGTAGTTATAGCGTAAAACTCAGAGTGGTACCATCATGATACATACTACTCTGGTCCGATCAAATGTTAACACATTTTTATCTTGATTAAAGTATTGATGTGCCAAAAAAACATCTTGATGTTTGTATTGAACCTTGAAAGAACATATTTGATTACAAAAATATAATGACATTCTATTTTATTGCGGTTACTACTCGGATTTGGGAATTCATTCAGCGGCCATGTGAGCAAGTGCTTTTTCATGGACAAGTGGTTCACAACGGACATTAAACAATGTCAAGTCCTTGATAGTCGCATCTTTACTCATATCAGGAAGCTCATAATCATTTTTCCCCAAGAATTTAAGCGTCAATTCCATCACCTTTTGCAAAGTAATGAAGGTTTTCGACAAAGTGTCACAAGGCAGCTCATCAAATGAGCTTTCTACTGCACCATTCAGCTCCTCGTTGGTCCGAGTACACTTTTGGCTTTGTAGACTTTGTATTGAGTTGAAGTAACCCCTAAATTCAAGACATTTAAGTCTGGACTATTAGGTGGCTGATTTGCAGCTTCAATACCAATAACACCAGACTAAAGTAGCAGTTGCGTTGTCACACTATTATGTGGTCTCGCATTATCTTGCTGCAAATATATTGTTTTAATTTGGTCATGTCGGGGGCATTTTTGCCTTAATTGCTGGAACAACCTTCTCAACAATCATCTTGCGATACACATCCGCAGTCACATTCACAGGTGCGATAACCGGAGTACCTTTTGGCCTACTTGCACTTGACCTTTGGGCCATAACAGTCTCGACAAAAGGCCAAATGCCGATCTTTCCATCGAAAATGGATTTTTTGTGGGGGTATCGTGGCCGTGTGACTGCCGCAAGAAACATGACTTTGGTAATATACCGTTTGGACTTGAGCTGGCGCTTCGGAAGTTCTTCATCGTCGTAAGCATAGAAAGACTTCTTGACAGTCGTCAAAAAGAACCATTTCTCATCAACATGTACAGACGAGTTCATGTTGTCGAAAATGGTTCCATTCGACGACGGCCGAAGAAACGAAAGCGCGTGCTTCAAACGGGTCTCGTGTTGGCTTCCGTTAAGAACGGCTTCAATGGGTTGACTTGAATTTTAATGACTTTGCTCGCTGCATGTGGCGAATGATTGTTGTCTTCGAGTGACCTGTCTTGGTTGCTAGTGTACGCATCGTTTGCCGTTCATGCAAAGGGACAGCCCGAATCAAACTCTCAATCTCTTCAGAGTGTTGAATCTTTCGGTTTTGATTCCCTAACATCGTAAAACTCTTTGAATTAATACATGTACAAAATTATAGTCTGACGAAGAAATATTATATTAGAGAGGTTTTGATATTGTATTTTGCCGACACGTCGACCGTCGTGCTACCGCTGCGTAGTGAGAGGCGACCTCTTGCCCACACGTTCAAAGTCGTCTGTCTCGTGCAGTTGAATAGTCGGGCAGTTTGTGTTGCGCAACCATGGGGTAGTTCTCCGGCTACGCTTCGTTCCAGAAGCATCTCGTAGATGGAATGGCGTTGAGCATCGGTGAGCTTCTTGTTGCCAGTGCGATGGTTGTAGGTACTCTGAGAGCATGGGGAAGGCATAGTTGACTAGAAAGATCGCTTTGCAAGAGGAAGTGTGTTGATGTTGACCAGGAAGGGTGATCATGCAATATGAGACCTCAGCGGGTCGTTATGCTTGCTAACGAATGTGTGAACAAATTCTTGCCACCATAACTTTTGAGCAAAAAGGAATTAGTTTGGTCGGAAATCATCCAATCAAAGTGGAGAGCTTGCGCTTTCTTGTGAGCCAATTAGATTGGTTAAAGACAAAAAAATTGAAAAATCCGCCAATGGCGAAAAAGTGTTAACGTTTGATCGGACCAGAGTAGTACCTGATTTTTCAAGTGATGTTGTTTATGACTACAGCGAACCGGGGAGAAACTCGACCGGGTATGGAACACAAATTGGTTCACTCGTCGAAACGCAAAATTATGAAAGACATGGCAGTCAGATTTTCATTGGACAAAACGTTTTGTAACGTTACAACATGAAATGTCGCAAAATTGGCAAAATATGCGTTTCAGAGATTCAGGAGGGGGGTTTACACCGACAACCCTCCCACCGAGCACAAGTAGACCAGCGACATATTACAAGCATACCATATATCAAATGCTTGCATTATTATGATATTACACAAGTACTATTTGAGGTCGAGGGATGGCTTTTACAAACGACCCCTTCACTGCATCTGATGTGATCGCCTTGATAGCGCGCTTGACCATCGCCATACGTTTGTCTGCAGCACTACACACAGGTAGCTCGTCCAGCCAGAGCTTGCGCATGATTTTCTTGAAAGGTCCCATAATACCTACGTCAAATGGCTGACACATACTTGTGCAATTTGCAGGCAGTGGCTCCAGCACACTGTACAAGTCACGGACGATGGAATCCGACGACTCTTGTGACACATGGGCGTCAAACTTGGTCCGAGAACATGAGACGGCAGCACGTCGGGGAACAAACGCCACACACGACTGTCCATCCAACCTTTGTCCTGCACCGCATAGTGGTGCCCTCACGGGTACGTACGAAGTTCGCGTTAGTCGATGGGACCACCCGGGGTGCTATGCAAGATGAGCAGAATTGGTAACTTCCCACCTATAGGGAGCAGAGCATTAGAACATACCGAAAGTGTATAACTGTGTAAATTACCATCAGCGTGGCAAGACAAGACAGCAGTCAACAGGTCCGAGTTCATTTGGGCCTTGTCGACCTTTGATGACTTTCCAATCTCGGCCCAAATCTTCCCCAGGGGCATGTCGTAGTAACGGCCGTCTTGTCAACGTTGATGATGTCGCGCAGATTGTGCCCGTTGTACTTGCCCCAGAACTTGTCGCGGATTTGAATCATGCCGGCTGCAGGAAGCTTGGAATTACAGGCCACACGTTGAGAGAAGCGGTGTCTGTGCGCGAACGATTGGTACAGATTTGCTTTATACTGCAGCAGCCAAACGTTCTAGTGGGTCTTCATGAAGTTGATGATGTTAATGGATGTTAGAATATGCTCATCTCTGCGGATGTCCTTCATGAATGTGAGAAGATCATGTGGAACGGGATGATGCACTTCGCGCCTTGCCCACCGATGGCAGTTCATTTCGCATTGCGTCTAGTTGCCGCAAGCTTTGTGGGCTGATCCAGCTAAGTCGAGAGAGTACTTCGAGGTACGGCGTTCACAACTGATGCCATGTTCGTCGAAGAGTCGAAGAAGCTTATGCTTCTGGCTGATGTTGTAGGACAGCTGAGTGCGTTGCCTTGTCATCTCGGTTCAGTGGTGAAATGGGTGTGTTGTTTGAATATCATGTGAGATTGAATTTGAAATTTGAAAGTACCAATTACAGGACAGTATTCTACCTTGCTTGATTGGCTCGCCATTATTAATTATGTTTGACAAGTGACGAAATATTAATAAAAATACATAGAGGTGGTCGAGATTCTTGGGGGGTCGAGTTTCTCCCCGGTTACTGTACTCGGGTCGGGTTCATTAAACGTTAAGTTTGTATGGATGCCTGCGATGATTCATTTCACTGGGTCACTTGAAACAAGCCAGCCATTGACTCTACACTACCTACTGACATCCCGCACCAATTGTGGCCGCGGTACCTCCTTCTGCCTATGCGAAAGTGCCATGGAAGACGACATGGAGCGACGCCTAGGTGAAGAATGATTCGACCTCGAAACTGCTTTCTGTGCCAATTTACAATTCAAATTTGACATCCTGTCCGACAGATTATGAGGTAAATATTCGGCGTTACCATGCAATACAAAAACAACAAATGTTTCTAAATATCGGTTTGGTGATGGCAAAGAGACGATAAGGAGGCACACTTCTTGTGATCGTAATATTCGTTCAAAGGATCGAAAAGTGAATTTACGGCCTGTTCCAGGTAAGAGGTATTGTGCTTTCGAGCTAAATTTAGTATTTTCGGTAGATTCGACGAATGACGTCAAATCCACCTGAAATCGTCGAGCGTCATTGTACTTGAACTAAATATACTCACTGTGACTTCTGTCGGATACAACGTTGAACTCTTTGTGAAATGGAGAAGCTTGGAAATGCACCGGATACGCCTGTAATTTGATTGGTCGAAAGGTTTTTTTTGAAAATTTCATTGGCTACTTCGTCTTTGCTTCGTCGATTCGATTGACAGCCCCAGTCCATTTTGAAATCGAATTACCAATAATAACAGTTAACGTTAACACTGTTTTCATGTGGAACTTATTCCCTTCGGGAGGCCGTTCGCAATAAGTCGAATGTTTCGAAGTTTATATTGTGAATTTCCTTCCGAATTTCCCAATTCTGCCTTCGTCGCTACATCTTCACTGCGACATTGGATTGACTGACTACTGTACCAAATAATCTGCAAAGAAAATTGTAGTCAATCGGCGAAGAGAAATTTCGTACCAACAAATTAATTACCGCGGTGAGGTTCAGTGCGAGGTTCGATTGGTCGGGGTCCGGAAATTCGTACCGAATCTACAATAGTACTTCGAAGTAATACGTAGTATTTCACAATTAGGTCAAAACAGCAACGTTACCACTGTTCTCGTGGGGGGTTATTCCTCCGGGAAGGTTTTCAGACGAATTTTCTTGTGAGTAGAGATGACAAATACGACAGGTTTTATCATTATACATGTGTCAAAATGATCTATTCCAACATGACAGCTTGGCCGAGCGGTTAAGGCGATAGACTCGAAATCTATTGGGGAAACCCTCGTGAGTTCAAATCTCACAGCTGTCGTTTCTTTTTCTCATTTTGATACTATTAATAGTATGGACTTGGCCATTTGCGTGACCAAACGTTTGTAGGTACTTCGATTCAAAGTGTGGCTTAAAATCCATCGTTGTCTTATTCACATAAGCCAAATATATCAGTAGTGTCATTATTACGTTTAAACGTTAAGTTTGTATCAATATCTGCTTCGAATAGCCGGGTCACTTAAACGAGCCAACCATCGACTGTTTGTCGCAAGGTCGCACGCATACAATTCTTCGACAGGCAGCCTGCCTTGCCTACCATCCCATTGCCATGAGCGCCGCCGACCCTGCACTGCCGCATCGCATCCCAACGAAGTCCTCCTCCCGAGGAAGTGCGTCGTCGTCATCTCGACGGAGCGGCCTCTTTGGCCGCAAGGAGGAGGACATCCTGACCGACGACCAGCATCTAAAGACGTTTGACATGTCCGAGTCGGACGACGCGGGCAACATCCAGTCGCTTCGGTCCGTGCTCTTGGACGGGTTTAACGTCACGTTCTCGTGGCCTGGCTTTTGGCTGTGGCTTTTCGGCACGTCGGTCACGATTGCGACGTTCGTGACGGCGTACCTGGTCACCGACATTGAAGGGTATACAGGACAATCCATCGTCATATCCATGTATGCCCACATCACGTCTAACGAATCTTGTAGGCACGAGATCAACCCCGGGCTCGTCATGGGCTCGGCGCAAACGTTCTTCACGAGCTGCATCGTGATCGTGACGTTCCACGGCGTCCATGCGTACCAGCGGCACCCGAACCCGCTCTTGTACTACCGAGCGATCATGGACCTGCTCCTCTCGATCCGGTTTCTCTTTGACCCATTGTGGATCTACTGGGGCATCTACCAAGTGGACAACGTCCTGTCATGCCGATATCTGTCGGGCATCACCGAGTTCCTCTTCTTGTCGGCCGACGCGTGGTTCTTTGTGCTCACGGTAACATTGTCCACTTACCCAAAATTTAGATTTTTGTGCTGATATTTGCCAAATCCATCGATCGATTTCTTGTACTGACTTTTGTATGTCCAGCAGCAGATCTAGAAATGCCCATCACACTAATTGAAGTCTCACACCAAATAGTTGTTCCTGGGTTGATGATTGTTTCCTGATTGGCTCGATTCTTCTGTAACGTTATTGTCCTTGTACCTAACCTATGGACTTTTGTACTGATTCTTTGTCAAATCTATCGATAATCGATTGTTCGACCGTTCGTCCAGTATCACACTAATTCCAGTCACACACTAATTTGGTGTTGACTTGGTCGAGAGTGAAATTGATTGGCCACTTTGATTAGTGGTCGGATTTGATTGGTCGTATATCGATTCTCTGCCGCCGATTTGGTGATTCTGCTCATTCGATCGGGAGCCTATTGTGAATTCGCTATAAACTTCCAAAATTCGCCTGGTTTTTGTCGAATCAATATGGAATATCACGTTGGAGTTTTCTGATTGGTTGAATATACTTGTCCTTTCGACCCAATCAAATCATCCACTCAAAACTGGAGTAGCCAATCGCGTGTCGATTCGTAATTCGAATCCACAATACCCCACTACAATTTCGAATCGCCAGTACAATTGGTGATTTTTTGTCGATGCATTGTCCAGTTTAGAGCAAAACAACTCAACGTACAATATGTAGCTGGACTTGTACTTGTCACTGAACAATCCGTTCACGAGCGTCAAGCGCAATCGAACGCTATACAAACGTGGCGTGTGCCTGTTTGCGCTCGTGCTGTCGGTGGTCACTGCGTCCAAGCAAGGGTTGTTTGGGTTTGCAGAGGGCAAATTTTGCTGGACATATGCGAAACGGTAGGTTTATACATATAATGAATCTTATATGATCATCATCGAGTTTCGGTAGATACGCCGCCAACCGGGGCGACCACGGGGCGGCGGACAATGGGTTTTTCTCGTTTAACGTGTCGACGTGGGTGGCGTTTTTTAGCTGGATGGTGCTGTTTTACGCGTTTGCGTTCTTTGTGCTCGGCGCGAGCTTCTCCCGACTGCGCATGGGACTTAGCAAAACCATGGAGACCCGCAAAGGTTGGGCGAATGTGTGGTTGGAATTATCTTACCTTTTTTATATGCACATGCTCCAATTAATAAAAATAGAATTCTGATTGTCACATATACATCAGGATTGCATCCGTATGTCAACGGTATTGCGTACTCCATGAGTGTTCTGGAAGGATTTATGATATTCTTATTGGTGAATAAGGGCCCGTCTGGCAACCTGGAATATTACAACATTCTGGCCCAAAATGCCATTTTGGTGCCGAATTCAATAAATCTGATCAAAATTGAAACATATCTGAAGAGTTTTAACCCAATTCCAACAATTTCACGTGCGATTTACTCGTTGAAGAGGTCCAAAACGCCATATGACAAAATGGACCTTTTACCTCCATTTTGAAAATGGCATTTTTCGTTTATCCCATTTTGCCAGAAAGTGGAATAATATTTTTGAAATGTTACCCTAATATAAAATTAAGAACGAGACGAATTGATAGCTAGCATCATATGTGGGTCGTCCAGATATTGCCGCCGCCTTTTGTTCATGTATGAACATCAATATATTGAGATTCTATATATAATAGCGAATTCGGTGTTTTAATATTTCATATATGATGGTTTATTTCCCTTGCTTGAAATTATTAATCAAAACCTTCTCAATGAAATTCAACCAATCAGATCGATTGTGGATCGATTTGGTCGGCGCGATTCGATTGCACCCCCTCCCCATATTTGTATCAAATCGACAATAATTGGCCCCCATCCAATTAACTAGTGTGCTGCTGCTTCTCTACCACGAGTTCGTGACTTTTGCTTGTAGGCATGCTGAGGGACGGGGCACTGAGCATCATCAGCTACACTTTGTATTGGACGGTGGCATTCTCGTTGTATGCTGCGTCGTACAATTCCGACGCCACGCCCGCCGCCTTGCGCACGAACCCCATGTTCAAGCTGTACTGCTACGTGCTAGCTGGCCGCGGTATCGTCACGTAAGTCCAACTACCCCTCGATATTAAAACCATAAAACTCGTCCAAATAAAACCATAAAAAAACCATAAAACTTACAACCTTGTCGGGGTGGTTTTCAGGTACTTTGTGTGGTTTGTGATCAACGCGCCGCAACTGGTGACGACCCAATGGCTGCATTTCGCTCAAGATGGGCGGATCGACATGAACATTTCGGCGCAACTGAACGCGTCTCTACAGAGCGACCTGCTCGAGTACACGGTCCGCGGCATGCTGCGCGCCATCCACGAGTCCGACGCCGTCCCGCGGCCGCGCATGTCGGTGGAATCGACCGAATCCAGGAGCAGCCTCCGACTCACTGTCATCGACTCGATTCCCCCCCACAAGGCACACCTCGACAAGTCACAAAACCCCCTAAGTCCACGAGCAGCCCACAAACCAAAACATGCCCGACGATCCGTGCATTTCGTCAACTACCGACCGGTATATATATATATATATATATATATTTAAATATTTAAATATATATATATTGTGTGTGTCCTATGTGGCGATGGTGTGTTTGTAGCATTTTGTCAACATTTTTGGACTGTGAGTTTGGTGTATCATGTTTTTTTTATTACCGTATATTACCATACTAGTATGTACTACTAGTAAGTACTATACCAATGACTAGTACATGTTGATTGGTCCATTCGAATGGGGTCATAACAATTGATTGTTGTACTGAATTTTGTATGAAACAGTGTCCAGTGTCACACTAATAACAGTCACCAGCGTACTCAATGTTGCCTGGTGGAAGCGCGAACGAGATTGGCCACTTGATTCATTCGTGTTGTGGGTTTTGATTGGACAATCGATTGTGTGCCGGCTCCCCCTGTCCAATATTAGTGAATTATATCGACTTGACCATACATACTACGAATCTCCTACAAGTATACGATTGTAAACCCAACCACCTTGTCATGTGCTGGTGGTGTGTAGAGCACGTTTGCGCAGCTGCGGGCGCATTTCGATTTGAAAGCCGACGACTTTGCCACGTCATTCGAAGAAGCGACCAAGCCGAGCATCAGCGAAGGCGCGAGCGGCGCGTTCATGTTCTTTAGCAAGGACATGCGGTTCATCGTCAAGAGCATGGTCGAAGGGGAGGCGCGGTTTCTGGCCAAAATCGCCCCTCTCTACCGCGACCACATGCTCGCGTACCCGCACACCAAGCTCACGCGGTTCTTCGGGTGCTTTAAGATCACCCTTCACGGCAACAAGTTTTACTTTGTCGTGATGGAAAACTTGTTTGCCAACGCCCCCGAGATCCACCACCGGTACGACATCAAGGGCAGCTGGGTGAATCGGAGCTACGACAATCCACGGTACAAAACACAGTTTTAATATACTTTATATATATATCAACAACCCAATTTATATTTATATATATGTTTGACATTTTTTAATCCATGTCGGTTGATACCATATATATTCGTCGATTAGGGATGGTGCCAAGGTCAAGTGCCGGTACTGCTCGATGCAGTTTGTGTACCACTCGAACGTGGCCAAGCAGCAGGTAGGATCGGATTATATTGCACATTGGACTTTGGCACTGTGTATATGAGACATGAATTCGATGTTATGATATATATTCTCATATTTGGTTATGGTGGAACATAATATTATATCAGCGTATTGTTTTCAATGATTTGTTCATGAAACGTTTTATATGGTGGGTATATTAGACGTGCCCAAACTTAGCCGGCCCGCACGAGCCCAACGTGGTGCTCAAGGACGACGACTTGCACCACCGGTTGCGTCTCGGTGCTGAAGAAGGTACTATTTCTATCAAATATATTCGTTATAATCTATATTATTTCCAGCATCTATTTGCATCGTATGTCCATCATCTATTTGCACATCCACCTTATGTCCATCACTCTAGGGCGGGCGTTACTCGAGCAACTGCAGCACGATTCCGTGTTTCTGCGCGACCAAGGGATCATGGACTACTCGCTCTTGATCGGCGTAGTGGACGTCCAGTACAAAGTGGACAAGTCGGATGCTGGTACGTACTAACCTCCACCAACACGCATTAGACGACAATGTTTGAAACAAATAGGCGTTCAAAACCCACACCTGTGCGACTCGATTTCCGGACCCGGGCTGTACTACGTGGGCGTGATTGACATTCTGCAGACGTGGAACTGGCGCAAACGCATGGAACGCTGGGCCAAGGTCTGGCTGCGGCGCAAGGACCCCCGCGGCCTCTCCGCCATGGAGCCATATCCGTACCAAGTCCGCTTCACCGCCAAGCTGCGCGACCTAATCGCCACCGACGAGTATGCGGCCGCTTCGTCCTCCGCCGACACCAAACACCTACAGCCGCTGTTTGCGCACAACCGGTCGCTGGAAATGGTCCGCTCGTCGAGCCGCCCCCTGCCCCAGATCGTCAAAACACGCTCGACGCCGCACCAGCATCCCCGCGCGGCCCCGCCGACGGACGACCCGGCCGTTTGGCTCTAACGAACGCTCATTAGTAGTTGACTTTCAAGTTGTCTGTTGCATAATCGCGGGTCCACTTTTGCATGCATGTATCCAATAGTAGTAGCATTTGGCATGTCATTCATAAACCACATAGAACGGTATACTATTAATCCTACTACTGTAGTACTACTTGTTATATATATTTTTCGACACTTGGACGTTGGCGCAATATTGCAAAGCACACCATGTATCGACACTGAGGACGATACATATTGGAGCGCTATCTCAGTTTCAGAAGAGCAAAGACAAAACAATCGACACCTGGGAGAGTGTTAGAGGGTGTTGTCCCAATAGATTTCGAGCCTGCTTAGTGTCCTTTTGCTGTTTGTGCTGGTTCGCCAAATCCATCGATCGATTCTCTGTACTGGAGTTTGTATGTAAAAAGGTGTCCAGTGGTGTTCAGAATCACACTAATTTAATGCACACACTAATTCGATGTTGGTGATGGTTTCCTGCAATCTCATTGGCTAAATCCTTCTTGTGTACGTTACTCCGGAGTATTTGGTTGTGTCGATTTCATTATTCTCTATGTCGCTCCAGTGTAGAATAAACACAACAATATCGCCTTCAAAGCTGTCACACGCTTATAGTGAAAAAAACTCCAACACATGAACACATACGATGAAAACGTTCCTGCGGCTACATCGAGTCCACAAGGCATTGGCCACAAACGAGGACTTCCAAACCCTCTGCAATACACGCCCCCTGCGCTGCATTTTCCAAGTCACGAGTGCCACGGTGAACATGACACGAATCAATCTTCACTCCGTCAAATGTCCATGCCACCTTCATCGTCGCCAACAGACATGTCGTCGTCGCTTTCAGATTCTGCAGGGTCCTCCAACATGCCCTGCTTGGCCCACCGAAACGCGTCCAGTACATATGCATCCCGACATAGCACCACCACATCGTCCAGAGGAAATCGCCCGCCGTCGACTCGCTTGTTGCAGTCGAGATGGTGCAGGGCATGGTCCCACAGGGACTGCATGGTCACGTCGGCGGTGAGAGCGACAGGGCAGAGCGCAATCCCCGTGCCGATGGGAATGATCGTTGCTCGGCGCACGTGGAGCGCCATCAGCTGAGTCAAGGCGCTTAGGTACGTCCGCTCGATGATGTCTAGCTTTTCGTCGACCGTGCGGTTGGAAGAGGGGCCAATGCAATGCATTAAGTGCGGGAACCACCGCGACAGCTGACCGCCAGTCGTGTGGATTGCCGACCCAGGGGGAGGAAACCCTCGAGAGCTGTAAATAGCTTGTCGCTCCCGCTCGATCTCCAAGCGAAGCGCAGTGCCCCCAAGTTTGTGCACCGCCCCTGCGGCCGACGTTGAATGGGGGTGCAGCAGCGTGGGGGTCGTCGGAAAGATGAGCGCTGCAGCCGAGGGGGTTTCGGCAGCGGTCGCGACCGCCGACTCCAAGTCCCCTTGGACAACGTGAACGTGTTCAAAAAACCATTCGCGATGACAGCTCATGTGCAGAAACGCATGGTGGGGACTCAACGACCCTGGGATGGCCTCGCCGAATTGCTCGTGATACAAGTGACTCCACAGGGATTCGTCGAGGAGAAGCGCGTAAGCGGGGGCGTGGGATGCCAGGACAGTGGACAAGCAATCCAAGGAGCTTCCTCCGAGGAAGGTAAACAGCTGAGACCCCACATTCTCAAGGCAGTCAACAAGCGAAGGCGCCATGAAAATGAATCAACTTTCTGAGTGATGGCACAGAATACGTCTCGTCTCTGGGACTTGCGAATGCTGGTAGAACGACTTTCATTAGTTTATCACGACGGCTACTCCGGATAAAATGTTCTCACAACTGCTTGATAATGCGGAACGAGGCCTTCAAGGCAGACGTGGTGAAAGAAGACATCACCGCGAGATAGGCAGGTAAGTAGTTTGAAGACCATACGCGGGGGAAAGGTACGCGGCACCAACCAACAGTAGTGTAAACTAGTAACGTTACTACGTACAGTACCATGCGAGTGCAAAGCACTAACGTTTACAGTACTACGTATTCATCCTAGTAGTATATGTATATTAATAGTTTTGTTTTGTTTTCAATACAACCTTACAACTGTAAGCGTACTGCCAGTTACATTCTGTCGATATGGCAGTTACACCGTTTCAATCAGTGTGGGTCAACAGACTACCCCCCCCCGCCAGAAAACAACATGTCGGATCTTCATACGGCGGCCGCAATCGACCAACAGTTGGGACAGGCCCGGGGCCTCGTGATTCACCAGCGGCTTCAAGTCAGCGCCACTGTCCCTCGCCCCAGTGATGGCGGCCGTGGTGCGTCATCACTACCGTACACTCCGCAGGGGACGTACAAAGTCCACCGTCTGCCGCACGACAAGCAAGCCCGCAAACACCCCACGGACGAAGCCGACGTAGGGTGGACCCCCACGTCAGCTGAACTGGATACTCTCGAGTCGTTCATGGTTGTGCACGAAGAATCGTCTCTGGGGCTGCACATCATGCTGGCGATGTTTGGCTGTCGCAAATTACGCCCACTGCGATTCCACTTCATGGTCGACGGCGGTGGGGACGTGTTCTTGGCCAAGCGGCACTTCCGAACCAGCGGGTTCTGGTGTTGCCCCATGCATCTCGACGTCAGCACCACCCCTAATCAATCGACGACTACTGGACAGCAGTCGACAACTGGGCAGCAGAATCCTGTGCGCTTTGGTCGCGTCCGTGAAAACTTTGACGGGTACTTAAAGCGATGCTACCAAATGTGCTGCCTCTGCACGTCGTACACGGATATTGATCGCCTGCTCCCTTACGACAAGTACGAAACCAGGTTCACCTTACGCACCAACTTTTGCAGCTGCGGCCGCGTCAACAACTGCTGTGCGGGCACCGCCATCACCCGCAACGGCATCTTTGACATTTTGGACCCTCATGGGGACATCGTTGGGTATTTGCAGCTGGTGGGTAGCGACGGACACGAGTTTTCTCGGGCGTTCGTGCTGGAATTCCCCGTGGAGTCGACACCTGAAGACCGCGCGCTGCTGCTCACAGCCTTGTTTCAAATCCAAGTGGCGTTCTTGGAACCCTAGCCAACGTAAACCTGCAGCAAAGAAAGGGTTCGTGTGATAACCATTAGATCACCCCACTCCTTGAGGTGGTTCAAAACGCCATATTCCATTTTGAAAATGACATTTTTCGTTATTTGAGTACTACTACAGTCAAATAAACTACTGTACGTATTGTGTTTTTCATGTAATTTGCCCGTTGTTTAACTCCGTTAAACAACCCGGCGTTTAATATAATATAAGCCTGATTGAAGATAAAACAACGCTAAACCCAAGTTCTGCATTTCAGCAGAATAAAACAACCCTTAACGTTACTTTTATTTCAGCCGCTAACAAATCGAGTTGCAGCACCAGGCCAACTTACGCAGTGCAACCATCAGCTCATCACGATGCATACCGTATTAGGATGAGAAATGGGAGTACTATACATCGTGCAGTCGTAGAGCGACCTTGCTTTCCACACACAGTACTAAACGTTAGTACAGATCAAGTGTTGTAGGTATGGATGGCATAGCTTTGAATCATTGGACAGAGCGACGACTACCCTAACTATATCCCTACGTTATAAATTACTCGGAGTAGTTAATGTTTGTAGTGATCACGGATGGGAAGTCATAAATGTGGCCTTAGCTGCTTCAGTTTTATTGCGGCAAGCACCTCGACTTGTTGACGTAAAACAAGTTGTTTGCCAGAATGAAAATGGCAATCGAAGTTGTTTTACGAAAGTGCCTGTAAAACCACCTTCAATCAACCAATTATCGCATTATAGGTGAAGTAATTTTAAACACCACCCAACCGTTACTTCAAGTATTCAAGTTACTTTAGACGTTATTTAAGCCTGAGAAAATTTTAAACAATGAATTTAATCCTGGAAATGCCAAAAAAGGTGCAAAGTACAATAGTACTATTAATATTAATAATACTATTGTGCTTTTCACATATTTTGGCTAATCTGGGTATAAATACCCGCTTTTAACCAGTGGGTGACAAAGTTTTAGATTAATTCAACTTAGTTTTAGCTAATCGGAAGTACCTATGATTGGATGAGCAAGAGCTGTTCCTGCAGCATATGTTGCTAACCTGAAGCGTTTGCCCATTTCATT